TCTATCTATCTATCTATCTATCTATCTATCTATCTATCTATCTATCTATCTATCTATCTTTCTATTTCTCAACCAGCCATCAGGTCCAGTTTGAATCTCCCACCTACTCTTGGGTATAGGGCCTGCTTTAGAGTATGGTTGACCTACCAGGTATCATACCCTTAAAGAAAACTGACTTTTCCTATTCCAGCAGCTATCTAATGGGAATAGCTCTTCAACTAGGAGTGGAATTTTGTGCCTACATCTCCCACTCCATGCTGAGATTTCTTCTGTCTTGAGTTTGCATGAAATTTGTGCATGCTGTCACAACTACTGTGAGTTCATATGTGTACTATACCTGTTGTGTTCAGAAAACACCTTTTCCTTGTCATCCTTCACCTCTGCTCTTACAAACTTTCTCTCCTCTCCCCCCCATTCCTTGAAGATTATTCAGCCTTTTAGGGGAGAGTATCTGATAAGATGTTTCATTTAGAGCCAAGAACTTCACAGTCTCATAGTCTCTGCACATTGACTATGGTTAATTTTGACCATTGACTATTGTTAATTTCCACCTACTGCAAGAAGTTTCTTTGATAAGGGTTTGAGAGAAGCACTAATTTATGGATATAGCATATCCAGCTAAATCATTAGAAGTCAATATAATACTGTGTTCATTTAGCAGAAAAAATTGTAGTACTTTCCCTTGTAGGGCCGGCGACCTATTTAGCCACAGGTTGTTCTTCCTGATAACAGTGCCAGGTCAGAGAGCCATTTTATGGGGTGGGTCTTAAATCCAGTCAGGGTGGTTGGTAGCCCCTAACATTCATTCCACAATTGCTACTAAACATCACTGATTTATTTGACTCTGTGAGATTCTGGGCACGGATAGTCATGAGGTTGGTGTTTGGAGGTGGTGGTGTAGAAATCCGTATCAAAGTGCTGAATTCCTTTCAGTTATGTTGGAAATTTCAATAACACAGGCAATGGCGATGTTGCTTTTCTGCTCTTGTTTTTAACTATAGAAGCAGTGATTTCAATTATTTTCTAACATAATCTGCCATTAAGTTTTACAGTTGTTTTATGGGAATTAAGAAATATTCATTATGTTTTAGGATCTTAGGTTTTCAATAGCATGTAATGCCAAAAGGCTAAACTGCTTTCCAGTCCTCATGGATATTATTAGTAATGGACTGCTTGGAATTTTTAATTCTTCAGAGCGCATTCAGACGGACAGAAGTACATTTTTTGAAGTAAGTAAATGAAGACCTTGGATGTTTTTAAGAATGTAATGCAAGAAAAAAATCAATTTTTATGAACTAATGATTGTACATATATATATATATATATATATATATATATATGCATGGCTTGGCTATGATTATAAAAACGTATAAACAGTATGGTTTGGGGGCAATGAGACGGCAGGAAACACATCTAATTGGAAAATCTTTGGCATGGAACCTTGATAGTGGGACATAGCTCAATAGCAGAAGTTTTCAGTGTTTGACTATGCATCCTTCTCAAAAAGATCAACTTGATTTTTGTAGTCCTTAATGCAGTATTTCACAGAGTGTAAAAACAAAACAAAACAAACAAAACCTCACCACAAGGATCTCTGCTGTGGTAAGTGTGGCAAATGTGTGCACCTGGCTCCCTTAATCAAGGCAGCATAAGGGCAGAAAATGAGGCATGAATATGTAGGTAATTTGCTCAAAATCTATAGTTCTTATCATTATTGCTGTTAGTACCGTTTTGCTTGGACATGCATTAAAAGAAGACTTCAGTACAGAACTTTCACCTTTGATAAGATTAGAGTGATTATAGCCACAGGAATAGTTCTTGTTTTAAAGATAACTATTATGTAAAGTTCAAAGACATTAACAGACAATTTAATAACCTCTCACATTTACAAGCCAACTAAATTATTATAATACATAGCCTTAAGATTGTTTTTAATTAAATTTAAGATCCAACATTCATCTATAAATATTTTACTGTATATGTCTGTCAAAGAAAAGAGTCACTGTGGTCGGTAAGATGGTTCAGTTGGTTAAAGCGTTTGCTGTCAAGCCTGATGTCCTGAGTTCAATCCCCTGTGACCCACAAGGAGAGAACTCTTAAAAGTTATTCCCTGCACACACACACACACACACACACACACACACACACACACACACACACTTTTTTCTTTTATAAAAAGCCTTTTTAGAACAACTACAATATTCCTATCTCATGTAAAGGCAGTTCCTCAATTATATCAAATATCACATTTCTTTGACTGTCTTTTTAAAAATATGCTGCCCATGTTTGCTTACATCCTCTAAGAGTGTGCAGATCGGGGAAAGGGTTGTACTTCAGCTCTTCCATTTTACTTCCCTGCGTTGAATTTCTTTTGCCTTAGAAAATGATGCTTTTCTAGATCCCACCATTTGCCTGCAAATTTCATGATTTCCTTGTTTTTTAATTGCTGAGTAATATTCCGGTGTGTAAAAGTACCACAATTTCTGTATCCATTCCTCTGTTGATAGAGATCTGGGTTGTTTCCAGGTTCTGGCTATTACGAATAAAGCTGCTACAAACATGGATAATCTAGGGTCAGATGGAAGTGGAGGAGGACCTCCCCTATCAGTGGACTTGGAAAGGGGCAGGGAGGAAATGAGGGAGGGAGGGTAGGATTGGGAGGGAATGAGGGAGGGGGCTACGGCTGGGATACAAAGTAAATAACCTGTGATTAATATAAAAAAATAAAATATATAAAAATTGTGAGACTTTGTCTCAAAAAATTAATGAAATAAATAAGATAGACATCAAATTAAACAAATAAGATAGACACCAACCACACACACACACACAAACACACACAAAATACTAACTACTAGCTGAGATGACCTTGGATTTATATGTAGATAAATTTAGAATGTGGTTAGAAATTAGACTAGTTTAGTGAAGTTGGCTGTAGGTTCTCCTCTGAGAACCATGCCTTCGCTAGTGCTGGGCAGTTGGTTGAGTTTCCAGTACCAGGGATAAGTTGAATGGGCGTTCAGTTCAGTTAGGTCACCAACAGGATGTGAGTGCCACTCTTGCGTCCTTCGAAGTATAGTGCCATGCTGGCCATTGTTTTAGTGCGTAGGTGTCATAGCTGGGCGGGAATATTATCCCCGCCCCCTGTTCCTTTGGAAGCTCACATGTCACCTTTGCTCCAGTGAAAGCTTGTCCTCGGGGAAACCGCTTTCAGATGACTTATTGTCTAACATTCGTGTACTTACTAATTTCTATATGCCAGGTCTCTGAAAATGTTTAAATCTACTTTTGCATTATCCAGAAGCAGAAGAATGACTCTTTATGAATGTTCAACTGAACAGCTTTGGCACAAGTTTATGAGAATAGAAAATAAAACATCTTTTCCATTTGGTGTTCCAAGAACATGAGTTATATAATAAATTATCTATCTATCTATTATCTATCTATCTATCTATCTATCTATCTATCTGTCTGTCTGTCTGTCTGTCTGTCTTTCTATCTATCTATAGTCTGTGTGTGTTTGTAGAAGGAGAGATAGTTAAATATAGGCATAAATATAAATGTTATTGGTGTGTGAAACGTTGTAATCTTAGAGTAAGAGATGGGTGCTTCACGCTACAGACGGGACTTTGGGAAGACTGGCGGTGAGGGGGTAGCTTAGGTCATTTCTTTGGTTGATATGGTGAAGACAGTACGAATGAACCAGAGGCCTGCTTTCTCTCTGCTCACCATTTCTGCATGGTTTCAGGAGCACATGCTTTATGAGCATGGGTACATGAGCAGCGCATTCTCCTGGATCCCGGTGGCTGCCAGTCTCACACCTTACGTCGCGATGGGCAGCATCCGTGACTACAAAGTAAGAAGTATTAAAGTCTTCAGATATCTTTCGTGCCCAGAAAAAAAATTTCCTTTCAATCTTATGAACATGGATTTACACCCAGGTAGAAAATCGAAAATGTGTGTTTGCTGCAATGTATAATTGATCATTTCAATAATAGGCTGTCAAAATATTAATGAAATGCATTTTTCTTAAGTAGGAAAAATACCACCAACCAGTAGTAAATGGCAACTTTTAATTATTCTCTGAGACCCATTGTCCTATCCTCCCCCCTTTTCTTTGCACAGCAGACGTCTCATTACTCATATCGCAACACAAAAACAATTTTAACCCAAACCTTTTTCCTGTTTAACAAGTCTGAATAGACACCCATCCCTGCCGTTTGAACTCTTTCAAGGAGCCTATGAATGGCACTTATGCTCATAGGACTTTTCTCATTTGTTAACTGCTTCTTTTCCACTAGGATTGAACACTGTTAAAGGAGGAATACCTTTTCCTCTAAATTGTACCTAGTCTATTGTTTTTCATGAATCCCATGGATACTGGGTCAGCTTTTATTTTCATATTTTTTTAAAGACTTATTTTAAGTGTAAGAGAGTTTGCCTGCAGGTATGTTATATGTCCTGTCCATATGGTGCCCGTGGAAGTAAGGAGAGGCTGTCATATTCCCTGGAACTAGAGTTACTGTCACTGCTCAAAGCAGCCAAGCATAAGTGTCTGACAGCTGCTGAAGAATCATGCCCAACAGCTTATCTCTTTTAATCAAATAAAATTAAATATAAAAAGTGTTTAATAAGGACCTATCATTAACATCAATATTTTTGACGGTATTCAACAATGCCTAAGTCCTAGATGAACACCCTTAAGAAGAATTGGGTCAATCTGTGTTTCAACTTGGGATAGTATCAGTCTCTCTTGTGTAGGGCTGTGGTGAATGGCAATGTCATTTTCCAAACAAATGCAATAATCACTCAATGGATATAGTAAAAATAGTTGCTGTGATTACACATTTCTAGTTTTCCTGGTCCCAGCTTTTCAGGATTTTTATGATGATCTTTCTGTTTGTATGTATGTTTGTTTGTTTTTATCAGAAAAAGGTCCTTTCCCAGCTGTGGATTTCAGGCCTTTACCCATCTGCTTACTGGTGTGGACAGGCTCTGGTGGACATTCCCCTGTACTTCCTGATTCTCCTTCTCATGCAAATAATGGACTGTGTTTTTAGCCAGGAAGAGATTATATTCCTCATTGAAAACCTGTTAATTCAGGTAAGTGGTAAAGATTTAGTAATGCTTACATTTTTGGAATGAAGTTTTGCTAGACTGTCCTTTCCTTGGGTCAGAGTTCCCTTTGCAGGTTCTATCTGGGTCCCATTGATAAAAGAATTATAAAAGTTACTCAGAAAGGAACTTGAGGATATCTGTTGGGGTAAAATCACATGCAAGCTGGAAATAATAGCAACTGCCAAGAGAGGGGATCTGGAGCAAAGGGAGAGAGATAGTTAAACTTTAATAGAGTACAAGTGAAAAGATAGATCTTGGAGGCCAAGTGAAAACACTGTGAAAAGAGAAAGAATGAGGTGAGCAGAGTCCTTGTCCTATTTACCTTTCACTGATAGAATACAAAAACTGTCTCTTTCCAGAGTGGAGAGTGGTTTTGACATAAAATCAGCTCGAAAGCAGCTCTCTGGGAACCATCGCACACTAATACTATTTGACTTAGCCTTGAAAAACCTGTCAGTTTTTCTGGGGGTCTGATATATAACTAACTGCATTAACTACTGGCTTTCATTTAAGTTGTGTTAGCTTTGGGCCAAGAACAACCAACTGGGAACACCGTATATTGTCAGCTTACCCTTTAATGTTGCTCTTGTTGGGCCATTTTGAATCTCCTATCATGAACCTGGTTGTTACTTGGAAGCAACCCAAGGATTGTTACTCCCTATTGAAAGGGACAGCAATGTTTTATTGTTTTTTTAATCTTACTTTAAATTAGTTCTTTCAGATTTTCACACATGTTTTGATTGTATTTACACCCTGCCCTTCAGCTCTTCCCCAATTCACCCACCCAGACTTTGTTAATCCCAAATATGGGAGGAGAAAAACCACCTTCATGACTGAGAAATTAAAGCAAGCTTTATTTTAAAGGTGTACCTGGGTCGTGGCACCCTGGACTGTCTCACCCTAAATTGGGGTTTTAGAGAGTAGCCCCAGGCTAGCTTTTTGAGGTCCCTTTACAGGGTAATGCTGTAAGATTAACAGAAAACATCTACAGGCACATTTATGGGATCGAGATAATTGGTTATCAGGAAGAATACAGTGAAAAAGCAAGAATATACATCATGTAGGTGGAGAGTCATACACCATGGGGTTGGCGGTCACAGGTGTAGATCAAGGTATCCTGAAAAGAAAATATTTTGCAAGCCAAGAGGCAGTCCTACACCATGGGGTCATGAATTCAACAAGGCAAGGGGCAGTGATGAATCATGGGGTCATAAATTCAGTGCAGGGTAAAAATTATATTTTGTAAGGTACATCAAGTTTAGAAAACAGAAATTTAGCTAAAAATGGAGACCTGTTCTAGTTGGGTATGGGACAATATGACTCCTGTTCTGAAAGGAAGCCAACATAGCTACTGCTCTGGTTTTATATCTTATGTTCTTTACCAAAAAAAAAAATCTTTCAAGACCAACCTGTGCTACCCAAGTATTTTTACAAGTGTGTTTCTCCACTGGAGATTATGCCACTTACCAGAGGCTACACTCTTAGAAAACACCATCTCTCAGCAGCTCATAATTACCAGTACTCCATGGCTTGGGGTGGAATTGTATGCCTAACCCTATTTCCATGTTGGGATTTGGTCTGCCTTGGGTCTGAACAAATCTGGTGTGTGCTACCAAAACTCCTGTGAGTTCATATGGGCAGCTGCCTGGCTGTGTCCAGAGATTTCAGCTACCACCTCAGATTCTTACACTCATTTCACCCCCTCTTCTGCAGTGACGTGTGAGCCTTGAGGGGAGGTGTGGTCCATTTAGGATTAAGTGTCCTGCCATGTCTCATTCTTTGCCCCTTGGCCAGTTATGCAAATAGAAGCTTCTCATTAATGGATTATTTTTTATTTTTATTTTTATCAAGCCAAGCCTAGTACTTGAAAATGTGTTACAAGAAGTTTAGACACGTTTCATTTTGTCTTCTTTTACATTTTTAAAATTTAAAATTCCTTATCTACCAAGGCAGTAGCAACCATCAGTAGGCCGTTCATTTGAGAGGAAACAGATGTGTTGGTATTCATATCTCAAATGGTGCCTGGAAAGGAGATAGCAGCAGCCCTTTTCATTCCCTTTCTTCCTGCCTAGCATCCCCTACCAATATTATTATTATTATTATTAATCCAAAGAACTTAAAATTGCCTATACTAGTACTTTAAAGAGTGGAGGGGCAGGTATGATTACCTTTAAGTGGTATTCATCTATGTAACCGGACTGTCTCTGTTTTCAGATCCTGTGCAGTATTGGATATGCGTCATCTCTTGTTTTCCTAACATATGTGATTTCATTCATTTTTCGTAACGGCAGAAAAAATAGTGGCATTTGGTCGTTTTTCTTTTTAATTGTAAGTATGCATCCGATGCTTCTCGTTTTATTTTAGACTCTTTCTTGACCAACCCTAGGAGCATGTATTTTATTTTTACTTAAAATTTGTGTTAGACTTATTTTATTTTGTATGTATATGAGCGTCTTGCCTGCTTGTGTGGGGGTGTGTACCACCTGTGTGCCTGGTACCTGTGGAGTTCAGAAAAGGACAGCAGATTCCATGAAACTGGAGTTGGGGATGGTTGTGGGACACCATGTGTGTGCTAGGAATCAAACCTGGGTCCTCTAGACGAACAGCCAGTGTTCGGAAATGTCTCTCCATCCCCAAGGAGTATGCACTTTAATCATTGTACTAAGCAGAATGGGAAATTAATCATTCTCCCTACAGAGGTCTAGTCGCTCTAAGATATTCATAAAGCTATTTAAACTGTAGGATATGTGTGGATGTGTATCTACAGAGCTTTAGGAGTCCGTGAGGTAGAGATTTCTATCCCACAGCTATTCATTTCTTTCCATTGCTATGCTATGCCACTGATGGATATGCTGTAATTAATTTATCCATCGTTGATGCCTATCAAATGGCTTCCCATTTGGAGCTGTTATTAATAACACTGACAGGAAGTTAGTATTGGGTATACTTTATGTATACTTTGGCACATTTATGTGTACAAGTGTAGATGTATCTGGGGATATATGCCTACTGGTGGAATTCTTTGGAATTCTTCTTTATATGTTTACCTTTGGTGTATCTTGCAATTAGGTTGTTTACATCAATGTGAGCTTAAAGAATGAATTTCTTATAAAGTTTCTCCAAAACAAAAAAAATGAACAAAACCATTTAGTACACACAAAATCTTCACAAACTATTATAGCAGCTTGATTGCTTAAATATAAAGCCAACCAAGACATATCAAAATGAAAAATGGTTAAATAAATGGGAGTATATTCATGTGATAGAATATTAACTTCTACTTTAAAATTGAGCTATCAGTCTCTGGAAAGTCATGAAATAAACTTACAGACAACATGAAGGCTACAGATCATGGTTCAAATTACATGAAATTCCAGCAAAACTATGAAAATAATAAATATATTAGTGGTTCCCAGGGGTTATGGGGAGGAAAGATGAGTAGGTGAACACAGAGAACCTTTAGGTCAGTGAAATGCCTTCCATAATATTACAATGGTAGATACATGTTATTGTAACTTCAACAAAACATGTAGACTATATAATGATTAGAATGAACCTTACTACAAAATGTGCTTGAAGAGTAAATATATTTAGAAAAAAAGATAGCATATGTAAATACTTAGACTAAAGCTGAATAGTTCCTCTTGGAAAATAATTTTAAAACTAAGAAAGACAATATTACTGGGTCTGTAGCTTAGCAATGGAGCCTTGCATAAGTGACGCTGTGAAAATTAATAGCCAGAATTCTTAGACTTAAAAACATCTCCAAGACTTATGTTGAAGTGAAAAAAAAATAAGATGCATAGATGTGAATGACCAAAAAAAATGCCGACATAAATATCTGATTTTATACATATTGTGTTTGAAAAACATTGCCTTCCAATAAAATTATGACATAGTTTGTGACACCAAGGGAAAAAATCCAAAGACAATGCTACATTGAATGAGATAGAAATCTATAATAGGAAAATTGATGAGATGAATTCCTTCTCTCTTTCAAAACAAGCTGTAATTCATATCACTATGCTTTAGTGACACCACTCTCTGCCTCATTTCAGGTCACCATGTTCTCCATTCTTGCTACTGACATAAACGAGTATGAGTTTCTAGGGCTCCTATTCTGCACATTTTTAATACCTCCCTTCACACTGACTGGCTCCCTACTAATTTTTTCTGAGGTAAGTAATATCAGTCCTTTCTTACCATGAGCAAATGTATAGGCACTGAAGAAAACCTTGAACAGGAAAAGTCGGTCCCTGGCTATGCAAGGTCTGAAGCTGTGATTTTCAGAAAATGATTTCTCTACAGCGTGTGAAGGGCATGGCTGTGTTCTTTTGAGTTGAAAGCCCTATTCTGGCTTATGAAAGCCAAAAGAAACTTTTGAGTAGTATCATTCTACAGCCTTTCTTCTGGGGAGACCTACAAGGAGGCAGAAAGGATAACCCATTTCTGTTAAGGTTAGGGTGTGTTGGGTTTAAGGTTCTTGATAGATATGTGATAAAAACACTCAGCATCCAGGTGGACATATAGACCTCGAGTTTAGCCCATGGGAGATTGAGAACACAGCAGAATACCTGAGGTTCATCAGTTTACGAGTGTTGGTAAAGCCAGTGCTGGTATAACCCTGTGATATAAACCACACAGGAAATACAAGTTGAAATAAAAAGAGAGTGGGCAGTGTGCACAGGAGCCAGAGAAATGGCTGACTTCTGAGTGTCAGGATCTCCCTCCCAGAAGCTTTGCCTCAGCTCTTCCAAGGCAGATTCCAAGGGTGAAATGAGACTGTTTGTGCAGGAGCCATTAAACCACCAGATGCTACCGGCTAGTCCAGAAGGATGACAGCTGGGAAAAGGCCATTCTGCCTGGGGACTTGAGGGTCTTTGGTGCTGTTGACAGTGCTGGTTCTGATGAAAGCATCAGCTTCACTAGCTGAGCCTCATAGAGAATGAGAGGTGAACAAGCTCTGGCAGTGCCGAGAGGCAAGTGCGCCCACGCACTACGTCAAGATGGAAGAAGGGGAAGGGCAGGTGAATCGGGAAGGTGGTGGATAGGTTTAATCCATTTTCTTCCCAAGAAGCGTCATGCTGCACTCATGGGAAATATGAAGTTCCTCGTAGAGAGGAAAGCAGTGTCTGCGAGTCATCCCAAAAAGCCAAGTGAAAACCACAAGCATGCACTGTCCATGTGGAGAGTCTGGCGTCCATAAGACAGGACCGTCCGACCACTTGGCTATATAACAGAGCGTGTGAAGATAGAGAATAGACCATGTGTCTTTTGAGGAATGAGAAGTCTTCCTATCAAATGAATATTTTCTTGGGGAAGTAAGAATTGTAGTAATAGCCAGGCATGGTGGCACATGCTTTTTATCTCAGCACTGCAGGGAGGTAAGAGCAAGTGGATCGCTGTGAGTCCAAGGCCAGCCTGGTCTACAAAGTGAGTCCAGGACAGCCAGGGCTACACAGAGAAACCCTGTCTCAAAAACAAAACAAAACAAAACAAAACCAAATTTAGTCATTACTGTGTGTGACATGTAAGAATTAGCATTTTGAGAAGAGAAGGAAATATATGAAAAATCATTTCTGGGAGTGAATCAGTAGGATTGGCAGAGCTGTGTGAACAGAACTCATTTTTCAAGCAGAATAAGCAAAATTGAGAGGTAAACTATTCAGAAAGACCTCAAGAGGTCAAGATACAGCTCAAGAAATAAAATTGGCCCATAACCTTTTATTCATGATGAAGTCAGATGAAATCTACTTTTTTGAAATCTAATAGGACAATGTATTCAAATATGTACAATTCTCCAAGTGAAGAATTTTGTCTGGTTTGGGGAATGGTCATAATTATTTCCAAAAGTGGATATCAGCAGATAAGAATATTACAAATCCAGGGTCCCTAGAGGAGGAAAATGGAGGGGAGCATGAATGAGAGCAGAAACTCAAGTGAACACAGCTCAGAAAGAGGGTTTCCTTCAGAAAGACTTGCCCACGACTTCAGTGGGTCCTGCCAGCACTGCCCACGACCCAGCTCACTCCTGGTATGGCACAGAACAGTATTCTGCATCCTGGCCCACGGGCAAGCTCAAGTTCATACAAACACTGAGAAACAAGGAAAGCACCTCCAGAGTTTATCTGATACCCAGGCTACGTGGGGGTTCATTATACACAGGACAAAGCAGGAATGAAGGAACACTCAATTGAGCGTGTCTTCTCATTTCGCAGGTTTTTTATGACTCCGAGGATGACGTAGGAGCGTCAAAGTCTCATGTGGGATTTCTGGCATTGCTGATAGTAAGATGGCATTTCCTTTGTAATGTTTTTGCAATAGGAGACACCTTTGTACTATCTGAGGGTTTTTTTTTTTTTTTTGGTTTTATTTTGAGTTTCAAAAAATTAAGTAATTTTTAGACATTTTGGGAATAAGAAGTAACACACACACACACACACACACACACGACTTTAATCTGACTTTAAATCACTAGCGTGACAGTGATCATCTGATGATAAGCATGGAGCCCCAACTCTAAACAGAATTAGTATTTGTGTCAACTCGTTACTACTATGTTGGTATCTTTTTACATTTATTTATTTGTTTACTTGGGAATGCATGTTATTGTATGCATGTAGGAACCAAAGAGCAACTTATGGGAGTCATTTACCACCTCATCTCACCATGTGGGACCCAGGAATTGAACTCAGGTCATCAGGCTTGGCAGCAAGCATCTTTCCCAACTGAGCCCTCCTACTGGACCATTAAGACTATGGTTATATAACTCCTGTTTTGACAGCTTTGTAAAATGTCAAAATAGACTGTTTTCAGCTTTGTGAGGATGCTATCAAATGCCATCTTGTAGATTCTCAGTCTCATTAAATTACCTCCAATATGAAAACAGTTATTTGTTGATGTTAATTTTGTTTTTCTTTCTTTGTCCCCAGCCTTACATCCAGTTTTTTCTTTTCCTTTTTGTTCTCCGATGTCTGGAAAAGTACCTCAGGAACAAATCGCTAAGAACGGACCCTGTGTTCAGGTTGAGAGTATTAAAATAGAATTTCACGTTTCATTTAATCTTTATTCTTTAGACATTTTAATATGCCTGAATTAACTGGGATCGGGGGAGAGAGCTCAGGATTGTTTTTAAGGGCCTGTGTCATAGGCAAAGTTATTATAATTCATGATCATACAGTCTAGTTTAAAAAGCAGTGTTAGCATACATAAGACTCTAAATTAGGAGAGATGGAAATTTCATGGGTACCCTTGAGTTATATACAAGAGATAGTATCTTTAAAAGAATAAATAAATGCATATAAGCAATTGGATAGAGGTTGACAGTCCAGGAAGGAAATATATGTGAGCCGTAAGACTAAAGTTGAGATCCGTGCTCTTTTCCCTCAGACTTGAGAAGGCAGCTGGGACAAATTTAAAGTTTTATATTAGAGGATAGCATAAAATAAGTGAAGCTGGGTTTTGGAAAATTCTGAAATAGGGGAAGTATGAGAAAGGTATTGAAAACTAGTTAATGAGCAACCAGTATGAGAGTGTTTTACACACATACTTTCTCTTCTATCTCTTCGAAGAGACTCCGTTCATAAGGCACCTCTTATAAACGAAGGCACTTAGTTGGGGCTTGCTTACATTCCT